GCGAATGTTGGAGGTGTTTAGAGTACTCTAATCGTTTCTCGCTGTCCAAGCTGCAGCCTCTGAACGATTATAGTCCTATAATGACTTAGGCGGGCAGTCCGCTAGTACTGTTTCTGCTCGGTCTTGCTGTTGGCGTCGTGCCTTGGCAGTGGCGAGCGTAGGAGTTGTTTTAGTACTATAATCGTTCCCGTTGTCCAAGCTGCAGCCTCTGAACGATTTTAGTCCTATAATGACTTAGGCGGGCGGTCCGCTAGTACTTTTTCTGCTCAGTCTTGCTGTTGGCGTCGTACCGTGGCAGTTGTTGTCTAAGCAGTACTGTTTCTGCTTCGACTTGGTATTCGAGTTGTTATAGCCCTATAATCACTGTTCCCGTTGTTTTGTTCATGCAGGTTTTTATGGAAGAGCTCGGGGAATACTTGGCTCCGCGTCTTAAGACAAGGCTTCTTCCGTTTAGGTACCCGAAGGTTGCGACAACATCGACCCCCGGACCATCGAAAACGAAGGGAGGCAACGAGAAAATGCGTCCGCCGGGTGTGATCTCCCCACATACATGTGTCGACTCCTCAACAGCTCTCGAGAAAGGTTCAGGTACGAAGCCAAAACGTGACAAGAAGAAAGGGCTTGCAACGAAACCTGCAGCGCCTTCGAAATACAAAGGTAAAGCTCCGCATGAGGAGCTTGAAGTTCCTCGAGGTCTCGTGCTGGACGAACTCACAGACGACCTGACACGTGCCTGGAATGAGCTGGATAATTTGAAGGAGAAGAAAATCTCCCAAGAGCCTTTCTACCTTCCCATGTCGTGTCTCCGACGACCGCCGGAGGATGGAACGGGGAACAGACCGCTCGAGATTCGGGAGCCCGAAGAAGACCACGTTTCCACGATCATGGATTCGATGATTACTTGCCCGACCGGAGAGCATCTTCCCCATGTTGGTGTGGTGGATCTGTCACAGGTCAAACATAAGAAAGACGTGGATTTGGCCCGTTTGCGGAATGGTGGCTACACCATTTATGTTCTTGGAAGTAGACATTGTCGGGAGACGAGGGAACGTCTGCGGAAGATCTACCCTGACAAAGACGATTACAACTGGAATGTGTGCTATGTCCATGCGGGCCTGACGACGGAAGAAGCAAGGCAGGTGGGTCACAAGCACAATTTGGCAGCTGGGTACCACAGAGATATGAACTTCATCGAGAAGATGAAATGCTGGCGTTACATCTTCGAGAGAATGGGTTCTGTGAAGAACGTCGATGTCAAGTTGGCCTGCCTGCGGGAGTTTGGTATACCTGTTTCTGCCAAGAAGATGCAGACTAATGACCCGTTGTTGCAAATCGTTATGCGTCCTAAAGAGATCTGGGACCTACAGCTGCATATTTTTTAGATGTGGCGGAAGGGAGAGGTAAAGAACTAGAAGCTCAACCCGCTGGCCAAGAGTCAAATTCGCGTCGACGTCGCCCCGGAATTTAGCAAGTTTGAAGGTGGCAAGAAAAAGCGCGGAGTGAGAAAGCTGGAAAGGGCGGTCGCGAAGCAGCAGGAGATAGCGTTCTTCAATCCTCGCCTGAAATTGAAGGACAACAAAGTTGCTTTGGCACCGACTGACATGCCTGCGCAGCCCTGGATTACGATGGGCAATATCCCGTAAGAGGCTATCATGCCCATCCTGACAGAAGTGGTGTCGAAGCAGATCTCCCTGGAAGAGATAGAGAGGATCTCCCTGGAAGAGAAGGAGAGGAAATTTAAGGTCGTGAAGAAGTTTGGCTACGTTTCAAAGGCGTTCTGCGATGGGGTGAAATACAAGGACTTCAAAGCCGCAGAGGAGTTGTATCCTTTACACACCAAGAATGAGGTTCTCGAGCCATTCATTGGAAGTTTTGAGAGGCGAGGGGCTAAGCCCACTACTTTGCTGAATCATATTGAGCGAGCAAAGAAGTGGAGGAAGATGGAGGACAGGAGGATACGAGATGCGCAGAGAGCAAGTCATGATTTCTTTCAAGCGCGTTCTCTGGAAAACCCTTTCGCCGACTGCACTGAGGTGAAGTATGAAGGGTGCGCGGGCCAGGTAAAGGTTATTCAAGGCGATATGTTGCATTTGGCACAGTTGCAGAAGGACAAGGTGCCGATTTCTCTGTCTATCTTTACTTTTCCCTACGGCTTTGCACACAAAGGTCACGCGCGTGACACGGAGCCGTTCCCGGAGAGTGACATTGTCGACGTGCTGCAGAATGTCAAGGAGGTTACGAGCGTGTCGCTCAAGACAGTCGCTGCTTTCAGCTCTGTGGACATGCTATCCTCAGTGAGGTCCGCGTTTGCGAAGATCCGCAATGCTGGTCAAGAGCTTGTCACGTGATGCAAGCCAAACACGACGAATCCCGGTGGCCACAGACTTGTCAGCGTGACAGAGATCTGCGTTCTGGGGTACTACAATGTGACGGGCCAGCGTGAGATGACGCATTACAACTTTGCTCCCACCGATTCCTGCCACAACTTTCAACTTTTTGATGCAGTCATGCGAAAGTTCGTGCATCCAAGTGATAACAAGGTGCTTTGTCCGTACCAGAAACCTTATGCTTTGTATTCCTGGTTGGTCATGAAGTTCTCTCCACCAGGCGCCACCGTTTTGGACGGGTTTTCGGGCTCGGGTACAGGGGCCATTGCTTGCGTAATGGCCAACAGGAACTGTCTCGTCATAGAGTTGGACAAAAGGTGTGCAAAGGGAATCCACATGAGGCTTCTCACTGACCTCGAAGAGACGTTGCAGAGAGAAAAGCCAAAAGAGGGGAAAGGCAAGTCGAAGGAGCAGCACCATGATGCGGACGTTGAGGTGTCTGGGGATCACGGCCTCGAAGAAGAAGAGCAACATGTTGAGGAAGGAACGACCAATGAAGCTTCCGCCTAAGAGATGACACATGAGACATGGGAGCCGTTGTCGGGATTGATTGCAACCAAAGCCGATCTGCCGGCTGGATCTGACCAGCGTGGGGAACCGCCCGTGGCAGTACCTCCAGAGGAGCAGCAGGGTGGAAATATCCCACCATCCACTGCGACTGGAAATGTCCCGAGGTCGACGAGCGGGCGAGAGGAAGGGCAGTTGTCTCATCGGAGGGCAGTCACTGTGGACACGGTGTCAGGCGGCCACAAGCAGTGCGCCGCCTGAAATCTACGGTCTTGGGACTTAGGCACGACGACGAGTCCGTGTTTTGACGGTACTCTGGTTTGACCAGGCAGCAGAGATTAGGGGAACTCAGGGTACCCCTGATTTTGGGTGCACTGAACCTTACGGGTAACCCTCAAAGATGGCGAGATGGGTGGTCGCACTCGGCACATCAACGGACCGTCATTTCCGGCCGTTCAGAGCGTTAGACCCGGATTGGCCTGCCACGGGGGGGCATTGCGGGGACTAACCCCGCTGCGACGTTCTTTGCAGGGTATGATCGGGGTCAAAATAGCGCCTCGAATTTTTGTCATTTTTTGTATCTAAATTAAAGATGGGAGAAGAGATTGAGAACAGTAGGAGGGAAGAGAAAAACGTAATATTCCTTAATTTCCTTGTTTTTCGCAGCATTTGAGTTTTGGGGAAAATACCCCGTTATTTTATGTTTTCYGGCAATGGAATCGAAAACAAARGAAAAGATTAAAAATKATAAAGGARAAAAGGAACAAAGAATTTCAACAATTKAATTAAGACTCTCTCRGAATTTATTTTTGGTAAGTTTACGGTTATTTTACTATTTYGGGTAATAGAGTTAAGAAAAGGGGRGGATGATTAAAAATGATGGAACGAACAAGAACCGAWRATTATTCGATGCTTGGCCTGATTTTGCTTGGATTTCCCACCGTCGGCTCTGAACCYAGATTAATCASTCTTCCCTGGATCCCAACCTTTTTCGCCGATCCCTGATGATCAAGGTTTTTCGTGCCACTTTCCCGAKCCACCTATTTACTAACTTCACTGTGACAGTCCAAGSACGACCGCATGGACAGCGAGGGAGGCTGCTACTTTGRACCGACAGTATGACCTCTRTATTTGGCTCGCTACGGACGCATGGTTCATAGAGGTTCGGTTTTKATGTGGAGCGGCTGCATCCAACGGTATCCGACGTTTTTTTTTGTGGCTCGGTATGGGGTCGGCGTCAGTTTGTTTCAGGATTCAGGCCATTACGGTGACTTATTTTCAGGTCTGTGGCCACTGTAGCGATTTATTTCTGGGTCCGGGACYGCTTCGACAGTTGTTTCGGGTTCGACATCAGTCTATTTCGGGCTCRGTGCTACCRTGATACCTTGTTTCAGCTTCRGCGYCATTACCGTGACTTATTTTCAGGTTTGGGACACTGCAGTGATTTATTACCTGGTCCGCGGYCACTACAACAGTTTATGTCTGGATCGGAACTRTCACGCCGATTTATTTTCAGGGTAGACACCGTCACGGTGGAATGTGTYAGGTTCGGCGGCCTYGGGGCAGTTTAATTCGGTGATTTACTTCAGGTACGGTACCAAGATCGGTATCGTCACAGCGATTTATTTCGGGATACGATATCATCGTATTTCCGGTGCGGTATCCTCACG